ATTCAGCCTAGAAAATTTAAATTACAATAAAATGGACGGTCACCCTCAACTCGAGTTTTGCGCGGTGACTTCGCCCCCCCCCCCCCAATCTGATGTAGGATGGCTCCCCCAGTTTCCACACTAACTGAAGGCTTTTACGTTTAGTAAGCTTGCATGCCATAGTGCCCGTTATTTCCAACATATTGAGGACGCCGTTGCGATGGTTAAATATTTATCACACTTTTATCACTCATAGTAACTCACTCATGTTTCTACTCGTTGCTACTTACACTCACAGCAACTCACTCACCTTCGCAGTCAAGTCTACTCACACTCATGAGTACTCACCTACGTTACTACTTACTCTTACTCACATTATTGAGCTATCACTCACTACTAATCACACTCATGAATACTCACTCACGTTCATACTAACGAATACTCACACTCATCAATACTCACTCATGTTCAAACTCCTACTCACTCACGTTCATACTCTCTCTTTCTCACACTCGGAGTACTCACTCACGTTCATACTCACTCCTACTCGCACTCACAAGCTCTCACTCATTTCTACTCACACTGATGAATACTCACTCACGTTCATACTCATGGATACTCACACTGATGAGTACTCACTCACGTTCAAATTCACATCTACTCACACTTATGAGTACTCACTCACGTTCATACTCACTCATACACTCAAAGTACTCACTCACGTTCATACTCACTCTTACTCACACTCACAATACTCATTCACGTTCATACTCAATTCTACTCACACTTAGAGTACTCACTCACATTCATACTCACTTATACTCACACTCAGAGTAGTCACTCACGTTCATACTCACTCCTATTTACACTCAGAATACTCATTCACGTTCACACTCACTCCTACTGAAACTCATGAGCACCCACTCACGTTCATACTCACTTCTACTCACACTGAAAGTACTCATTCACGTCCATTCTCACTCCTACTCATACTCATAAGTACTCACTCACGTTCTACTCACTCCTACTCATACTCATAAGTACTCACTCATACTCACACTCACCACATTCAAATGAGTATGAATGAGTGTGAGTGAGTGTACTCATGAGTGAGTATGCCAAGCTATGCGCAAGCGATCTGGGATTAGGAGCAGTTCTCCTACAGGAATACGATGGTGTGTTGCAGCCGTTGGCCTTTGCCAGCCGCTTGTTGATACCCGCGGAAAGGAATTATTCCGTGACCGAGAGGGAGTGTCTCGCCATCGTGTTTGCACTGTGGAAGTTTGATATCTACCTTGATGGGACAAAGTTTGTGGTGCAAACAGATCACAGCGCGCTTAGCTGGCTGATGCGGCTCCGTGAGCCTGCGGGCAGGCTAGCGGGCTGGGCTCTCCTAATACAGCATTACGACTTTTCAGTGCAGTATCGGAAGGGGAGCACTAACATGGTAGCTGACGCGCTATCTCGTGCCCAACTGTCTACCAGGAGCCTGGATCCCGGTGCGACAACCGCTAGCGGCGCCTTTGCGCAAGTGAGCGGCGCAGGCGAAACGGCGGCGGAGCCGCGGAGTGGAGAAAAGAATGAGTGCGCCGAAGAGCAAACCCTTTCCACGGGCCAGGCAAGCAGCGTGCCGCGAAGCGGGTGAGAGGGGGAGCGAAAAGGAAGCGAACCCATGACGCCAATGCGAGCGGAGGCGATAGCTGCAGTCCTGAGTGGGAACGATACCAGGCTCTCCTTTGTGAGAATGAGAATCGCTTTCAGCAGACAAGAGTTACTGAAGGCCCAGCAAGATGATCCGTTTTGTCGGGAGTTGAGCCACGGTCTCAGGGAGACGGAGCGCCGAGACGCTGCTGGTAGTGCGGCGGGCGCAGGGGGATGGGAACCGGCGTGTGTTGCTGGGTCCCCCGCAGGTACTTGCTGGACCATGATGGACTCCTGCTGAAATACATAGCCACCGATGAGGAGTCAGTGGACCCATTTAAAGTGGTTGTGCCCAAAGGTCTGAGAGGCGCACTGTTGCGAGCCTCTCACGACGAGCCCATGGCCGGTCACCTGAGTGGCTCTAAAGTTTTTGCGAAACTGAGCAAGGTTGTGACTTGGCTTGGCATGAAGCGTGACATTTTTCGCTATTGCCGTTCCTGCCACATCTGTCAAGCGGTGAAATCAAGGGGTGGCAAGCCGCCCGGCTTGATGAAACCGATTGTCAGTGAGCGTCTGTGGCAAGTAGCCACCTGCGATCTAATGAAGCCGTTCCCAAGGAGTAGGCAGGGGTTCATACATCTGATGGTAGTCGTTGATCATTTTTCCAAATGGGTGGAGTTGTTTCCACTGTGAAAAGTGACAGCGCAAGCCGTGCTAGAGAGGCTCCAGAAAGTGTTTTGTCGGTTCGGCTTTCCGAAAAGCTTGATCACGGACAACGCGTCGTATTTCACCGCTTGAGTGTTTGGTGATACGTGCCGTTCCCTAGGAATAGATCACTGCACCACTTCGCCCTACCATCCCCAGTCCAATTTGACGGAGCGAATCAATCGTACGCTCAAACCGATGTTGGTGGCCTTTGCCAAAAGTCAAAAGGATTGGGCAGACCATTTGAGTGAACTCGCGTTTGCAATCCGAACCTCTGAGAGTCGCTGTACTGGTTTCTCTCCCACCTTCCTTATTTCGGAAGGGAGTTGGCAAATCCGGTGACCAGTGTCATGCAATGCCAGCTCGGAGACGAGGAAGAACCGGTAGACTGTTCTGCTTACGCTTCAACACTTCCGGACAGGCTGTGTCGAGCTCTCAGTAGAGCGAGGCAGAGTTTGGCATTGGCCAGGGCCGAGCAAAATGCCCAGTACGACCGAAAACGTCGCCACCTTTCATTTAAGGTAAGTGGCCTCGTCCTGAAGCGCAACCACGCTCTTAGCGACGCGAGCAAGGGTTTCTCAGCTTTGCTCGTTCCAAAGTGGCTTGGTCCGTACCGAGTGGAGAAAGCTTGGACTCCACTCTCGTACTTGCTGAAAGGCCCGCTTTCGGGAAAACTTAGCCGTGCCCACATCGCAGACCTGAAAGCCTTTGTGTCGACGTCTGACAAGCCTGCGCCAGTGCCCAGTGGCTCTTCGCGCAAGCAACGGCGCACACCCGGGGCGGCGGATCGCATTCAGACCACGCAACGGTATAATCTGAGGAAGCGGTCACCTGAGTGATTTCGCGCCGGACGGCGGGCTTATTTCCGCAACCAAAGGCCCTCATTTTTACAGTCTAGTCTCAGTTAGCCAACTTCTTTACAGCCAGTGATTGCAAAGAAGTCGGTTCCGCCCAGTTACTGCTGCTGATTGTCATTTGAGTGTTCTTGTTTACTTGATGTTTTTTTCCATGTTTTCTTTTTTTTCCTCGCTGGAGGAGGGGATCGTGAATTGGAGCTTTAGCGTGGGGAGAGGGACAAAGGACACTCTGCGCCTTCCATTGCGGGACGCGTTTGGAGAGACCCGACCATCGGTGGTGTGTGTGCGTGTGTACGTGTGTGTGGCGACAACTTAAGAAGTCACCGACCCCTACACCACCTTGGACTCTGGAGGTGTTCGGAGACCTGCGGTCGTTTGGCAGTTCTGCTCCCAACAGTCGCTGATAAGCTGTGCTGGCCTTTATATCATGGCTCCTGCACGAGGCCAGCTGTCGCAGACACTGTGCACGACTCGACCGACGCCACAAGACGCCTCACAGCCAGTGGATTTGACGACCATGATTCCAGCAGAAGGGCCAGCTGTCGCAGCGAGGTCCATCTGAAGCTCCACCGAAGTGGCGTTCATCGGACTCGCAGGGCTGTCGTCAACATCGACGAGACGAAGGTGAGCCGTTCCTTGCACGAGGGCCTCTACCAGAACTCTCGCCTTCCACTCTTGCATCCACCCAGTCACCCAAGCCAAACATTACGTGACGCTTCCCCTTCAAGTTGTGGACGCTCTCTTGCGTGAGCACCATGAACTCCCGTTACCCCTCTTCCGCGGCACCATTGTATTTCTCAAGTGTATTCTTGTGTTCTGTTTTTTTTCTTCAGCAGCAGTTGCAGAGCGAGGCTGAGGCTAGCTGTTGCCCATTGCATGACATCTTTGTATGCATGGGCGATGACCGGCTGCCTTTGCAGACCGGTACATAGGGTGAATTAAGGAGAGGAGGATGTGAGGATCTGAGGCGCGCCCGCGACCATTTCGCGGGCATTCCGCCACACGGCCACACCCTTTTGCTTTTTCTGCTCTGATAACGCCGTGTGGCGATAGATGGTGCCACGTGCGGGCGCGACACGCGCGTGCCGAGGGAGCGTTTTTTTTCTCCGAGGTCGGTGCCAGGTAAGCACGTGTTTTCCTTCGTCCGCGTCCCCTTTGAGAATCGCCGGGCTGTAGCCTGCCTGGGGTGGCCTTTGGCACCTCGGCAGGCGTGTTTACTTGAGTGCTAGCTTCGGTAGCGTACGCTAAGCCCACAGCGGTGCCTAGTGCTTAAAGTGGTCGTACCACACCGAGCCGCACTTGCCGTAAGCCTACGCGTACGAGGTTTGCCCTAACACTCACGACCAGGCCCAGTGGCCATCGTGAGAGTGCGCAGCATAGCCACGAGGAACCTTTTCCCGACCGGCATGTCAAAGCTCGCGATTGCCAGCTGCAACGTGCTCGCGGTTTTCCCTCATTGTGAACGTCCGCGTGCGGGTGCCTTTGCTCCCCTTGTCCCGGGAGCGGACGTTGTACTGTTGTTCGGGCTGCCTGCCGCAAAGGCAATAAAGTGTTGTGTGTTTTGTATTTGAACACTGTCTGTTTTGCTGCACCTTGCTCAACGCCTTATTAGTTGAGCTCGCGCAGAGCGGTGCACTACACGCGAGTAGGTGGCGGAGTCGCGGCCCTGTGGCTCGCTAAGCGTGAACCCGCAGTGATCATTCGCTGCAGTTAGTAGCGAGGTCACCATAAATAAAAAAAATGCATGTGCTGTGTTTCCTAAAAATCATTGTGAGAATCACTGCAATGACAAAGGACAGAGCACACCACTGACCTCACCTGAATACTTCAAGGGGGGCGAGGATGGTAACCATAAGGTCTGAATGAATGACCCCAAGCTCTGTCAAAGACACTGATAACGTCCATCCAAAACGCAGTGCCAAGTCCGTCAAGATGGCAAAGTAGTAATATCCCTGCAAAAATACGAAAAAGAAATTGTCTTGCACAGTGAGCATGGACTAGAGTGCTGATGTCCAAGGATTTCAAGGCCAATAATAACGTAATTTTCAAGCATAATCAGGCATGATCAAACTGCAGCAAGGAATTCAACACAGGTCTAACCTGTGCTAGCAGTAATTAGCTTACATGGCAGAGTTTGCTTTACGAATAAGTAGTAGCCCATTTCCATTACTGTATAAAGTTAAACCGACATATGGAAATACTATTCAAATACCACCAAAATTCAGCAGTTATAACTAGTAAATTTTATGAATGTTGCATCTGCATAGAAAAGCAGAGATGCCAGATATATTCCACCTGTTTTTATTGCAGCGAGTATACAATGTCTACCATCAAAAAAATGTGTATGAGTTTTTTCAGGGTCCGTACAGGTTTCCAAAGCAAAAATTCAAGGATATTCAAGGACTTTGCAGGAACTGTCACAGGTTTTGCAAGGACGAAAAGAGGCATGTAATGTTGAAACTTTATTACTCTAAGTTTACGAAATTGACTCATTTTCATTACACTTATATAGTACATGCACATTGTAACTATAACAAACATGTATAGTCTGCACTTTAGCTCACTTTAGCTTCACTATGTAGGAATGGCAGACTGGGCTTGTTGGTTTAAGATATTTGATGTTTGAGGCGTGAATACAACATGGATGAATGTAGAGAATAGGCACACACGAAGCGTTCCGTGTGTGTGCGTATATACCTTACCTTCTTCAAAAGCTTCACCAATCGCGCAATAGGGAAGAAACCAGCTCCAAAGAGCATTATTAGTCTCTCACTTCATTTGTTCGTGGTTTGACGCAGTAAAGCTTTATTCTACATGCAGCTTTAGAAAAAGAAACCATATCAACTCATGCCAAATTAGTGTTTAAGAAGTGTTTGTAAGGTCGATGCCGATCTATACCTGCCAAGTTGAAGGATTCTGGATCTGGGAAATTTCCACAATGGGGAAGGAAGGGGGGGGGGGGGGTCGCTGATTTATTTTGCTGTCCTTACTTTTTTCCCCCGCAACAAAAACATCGCGAAAAAAAAAACAGTGCGGGGAAGGGTGTCAGTAACATCGGAGTTGCGCGGTCTCATACCGGCATAGAGTGGCTGGACACCTGAAGGTAGAGTTTTCCAACTACAGTAAAAAGTACGAGTCTCAAAGGGGGGGGGGGGACATGTATTTCTCAAAAATTTTCGCATCAAACACTTACCAAAATCTTTTTGTCAAAAGAACTCACGTTTGTCTTTTTGCGACACACGTGAACGGACGGGACCGCACAGCTGGCTGCGAGGAAAGCGCAGGTCGAAGCTTAGCTTATAAGGCTAACTGAAAACATGCCAAAGTATAGCCAAAGTACCCATATCAACAGAAACGTTACCAGATTTTTTGGACAGGAATGCCAAAACCATTTTGCCTTTTTTTACATCTTATATCTTCTACCGCTGCATTAGCCGCATGCCCTCTGCTAGTAATCACGACGCCACAACAGCGTTTTCGCATGCGGCGCTTGTGGAAAATGATAGTTCCGTTTTCAATCTGCGTACACTGGCCACGCACGTGCCTTTAAAACCATGTTCCTTTTTGCTATGATCACATCTGCCACAATTTTGTCCGCAGCGTTTGTGGAAAGCAACGTCGCTTTAACTAGTCGAGCGTTCAACGCGCGTGCACTTTCGGAGTTCTGTCTGTTACGCAGTCACAACACATGATCGCGTCAAGAGCGATCGTGATTTCATCCACAGTGGTTGTGGCAAACCATAACCGCAGTTCTGACAAAACGTGCGCTGGCCGCGCGTGTGAGCAGTGTGAGCAGATGCCTCAGCATGAAGAGTTTTTTTTTTCCAACTTTGTACACCGGAAGTATGAAGTGTTCGCTTGACCAGCAATATGCTATCATATTTTTATGAAGCTTTGAAATAATAAAATCAAAACATTCCTGATGCTTCAAGAGGCTCTTCAAGGCACTTATAAGTCACAGTCCGGGAGGTGGCACAGGACTTATTTAAGAAGAGTGGGGAGGAGGTCGTCACTGAACCCTGTTCTGGATGCCCAACAACAAACAGAACCGATGAAAACCTGGATCAGGTGCAGAAAGTTTTATGTTAAAATCGTTGACTGGGCATCCAGCAAATTCAGTTTGTACCGCAGGGGGAAACTGTCAAGATGGGAAGTGCTTAAGAGAGTGAAATGCCGAGTCACGCGCGTGAGGGCCGACACTAAAAACACTGTCAAGCTCCACAATGAAAATGTCCGCAGCCCATATACTATTGAGCTAACAAGCAAATAATCGCAAAAGAAGCTCTTCCACAAAAAACAGCGTGACCTTTGTGAAGTGCAAAAGAAGCAAAAACCTAATGAATTTTTCCTTTTTTTTAGAAGTATCTTTATTCCCAATAAAACCAATTTCACTCAAGTACAACGGGGAGTTGAAAGAACAACGAATTATTTTTTATAGCAAAACTATGTGCAACTATGAACGAAAGCACATATATACATTTTAATATTTTTAATATTTAATATTTTCTCCAGGATAGTCCCCCTTTGGTTGAATGCACATTTGCCAGTGCATGATCAATGTTGCTTGTTGATCCACCAACGTATTTTTGACTTCAACACTCAAAGCCACCGACAAAGGCGCTACAGGTTAATGTGAATATTAGCAGGGAAAATGTGAATAAACCAAAGAACACAAGTGACTGGAAAATTCTAAGAGCGACTTGGCAAAAAATGAAGTCACAATCCACTTATTAGCATAAGCGGAACTGCCGATTCTGTACTAGCCACAGGTCCATCATCGCTTGCTTGGAGCAACATACCAGTGGTACCCCATTTTTCTTAGACATGAATTAGCGCCTTTTTTTTTTTTTTTTTGTTTCCGTGACTGTAGAGAGCTGAAGGGAAAGTAATGAGAGAGTGTGGGGAACATCCAAACGCATGTTACAACGTTCCTGAGAGTCATTTCTGTAAAGGACTTTCAGAGTGCCTTCCAAGTGCGGCATACATGTCTCCACAAGACTACTGATTCAGAGGGGGAGTAGTATAAAACTTTTATCCATTTGTAAAGGTCCCATCAATAAATGTACTTTTTCCCCAAAAATGCATATTACTTTTTTATAATCGACCCAGTATGTGCTATTTGCGTCAAATGAAACCCGAACAGCGGCACACCTTCGTGATTGTATAGTGTGCGTCGTCCACTTATCCCCATGGACAGCCACGCATATATGCACATAGCAGCCGAACAGGATATTGTCACCTTGCCATGAACTGCGGCGAGCCCGAGCCCGCATCCAGCAGAAACAAACTAGGAAGTCGTTCTTGGGACAGCGCGTGCTCTCGCCGAGGCTTTTTAGATGTGTCACGTCACTGACCTGCGTCTCTGCAACTACGCGGTATTCCTTACCCGAAGTCCCTGTTTTTCACATGTGACAACTGGTGGAATCGCTGGGTATTCCCAGCCAATGATCCAAACGCCTCCTGGTAGCCCTGTACCTGCAGTCACAACACTTGTCCACCAGGCCAGTCGGAGAATCCAAGGATTGTCTCCCGAGCGTGAACGTCAGCTGAAGATGACGTCAACTGCACCACCCCAGAGGGGTACAAAAATATTCCGATGACTAATTACACGCTGCAGAATCCACGAGTGCCGAAGGTGTTCCGCGGCTCCATGTTGGAGAATGTCTTGGACTGGTTGGCTCACTTTGAGCGCGTTGCTTTCAACGAGTGGACCGACGCCTCCAAGCTGTGGAATGTATACTTCAGCCTTGAGGATGGAGCTCATACTTGGTACGAGAACCACAAACCCTTCTTGTCGTAGACGGTGTTTTGCCATCAGCTGCTGGCAAGTTACGCTGACCCCCATCGCCGTGAACGAGCGGAGCGGGCCATTCAGTCACGCATTCAAATGCCGAACGAAAGCGTGATGACGCACGTGGAGGACATGACAAGCCTTTTCCGTTGCACCAACCCAGGTATGGCAGAAGACACGAAGTTGCGGCACCTAATGCGAGGAGTTAAAGAGCAGCTCTTCGCTGGTCTCGTCCGAAGTCCCCCGAATACTGTGGCGGAGTTTTTAACTGAAGCTACGACGATAGAAAACATGCTGCAGCAACAATAGGCTGCGTACGACCGTCATGTCAATGTTGCTTCGCCAGTGAACCAGATTGGAGTTGCGGGGAGTAACGTCGGTCTCGAAGCTCTCTGCACCTCATCCAATCAGTGGTACGCGACGAGCTGCAAAAGATTCATGGCCCGCCTCCACCTGCTGCAGGATCCATCTCCAGCCTCATCAAGAGTGAAGTACAGCAGGCTCTGCAAGTCCAGCTTTCCAGCAATTATTCCTCGCCAGTACCGACAGAGCCTTGCCGTGCACCATATGCAGAGGCTGTGAGCTGTTACGTCCCTCCTGCATCATACGATGAAGCTGCGAGCCGTTACGCCCCTCCTGCATCGTACGCTGAAGCTGCGAGCTCCTGTTCTATGTTACACCCCTCCAAGCCGTTTCGTACACCCTACACCACGCGATTCACTTGTATCAGTTCAATCAGTCCAGCATTTTGAGAATCTGCAGCTCCTCCCGTGGAAATCGGACATATGCGCACACCGCACAGGCGGCTGCTGTGCTCCCACTATGGCGAAGCTGGACATGTATACCGCGAATGCCAGCACCGCCGCCTCGGACTTCAGGGTTTCACCGTCGACTCGCCCAGGCCAAGATTTGGCGAAAGACCCAAAGCGACCGAGCAATACCTGTCTGAGCAGCGCATGCCACTGCTCCCGCAGTGCCAGTCACGATCATGATCTCCTAGAAGGTCTTCGTCAAGTGTGCCGAACTACCCAGGGACGGCGCCAGCACGGTTGCCCAGCCCTAGGCGAGACAACTAATGAGAGCGACCTTCGGGGGGGTGGGGCTGCTGATAAACGACACGAGCAAGGGCCCCCAGTAATGCGAGTATGTACCAGCAGCGAT